CATACGCGGTTACCGCACCGTTTCGACGGAGGTGGCGTGCGCGTTGGCCGGAACTCCCCCGTGGGATTTGGAGGCGGAAGTGTTCGCCGAAGTTTATCGGCGAGTAGCTGACTCCCGGGCGGAGAGCGGATTTCGCCCTCCGCCCGAAGACGTGCGCGAGTGGCGCGAAGCCGCTCGCCGAGCCACGATGGCTCGTTGGTCGTTCCGGCTCTCCGTGGAGAGCCTCCACGGCGGCGAAGCCAGCGCGTGGAGTCTCCAGCCGGTCATCGCCGAGTAGGCAGGGCGGCAGCACGGGACCCTTACCTTCCGGCTCACGCAGGTGCTTTCCGGGCACGGTTGCTTCGGAAGGTACCTGCACTCGGTCGCTAGGAGGGAACTGAGTCCCGCCTGCCACCAATGCGGCTGCAGTGAGGACTCGGCCCAGCACACGCTGGCGGTCTGCCCCGCATGGGCGACGCAGCGCCGGGCCCTCACTGCAGTCATCGGAGTGGATCTCTCGCTACCGGCCGTAGTACGCTCCATGGCCGGTAGCGACAGTTGTTTTACCGCGGTCGCAACTTTCTGCGAGGAAGTAATCTCGCAACAGGAGGCGGCGGAGAAGGTCCGGGAGGACGACCTCCACTCGGACCCGATCCGCCGCCGGCGAACCGGGCGGCGGAGGCGCGCTCACCTGCGCCTCATGCCGCCCTGAGTGTGGCCGCGGGTGCCGGACGTCGCCAAAAGAGAGGGAAAAATTTTTGAGACGGAGCCCGCAACAGGAGCGGGCCGGCGCTAGGAGGGGTCCGGATGTCTTAATAACAGCTGTTCCCGGATCCCTCCTATTACTAGTTTTTATACGGTTTTTTTAGCTTGTCCTGTATGGATAAAATTTAATAATTAAAATCTTACCCCCTTACTGGTGACTTGAGTTCTGATGACAATACAATTATGGAAATTCAATGTCCCTTAAATTTTTTCAACCCCCTTAATATAGGTATCAAATGAAAGAGCTTGACTTCCTACAGTACGAGTACATTATAAACAACCAAATTCAAAATGGCCGCCACCACAAAATGGCCTATTGCAGTTTTTAGCTTTTCGTGAAAATCTAGTTACATAATAATTACCGTTGTCATTAAAACTGTTTAAAATGATTTTTTTACCTGTTTTATTGGGCACTAGCTGCTGATTTTCAGTCAAAAGTTATTAGGGCTGTCGCAGTACAATAGAAAAAAATAAATAAATAAAACGTATTTCAAAATGATCACTTTTTATGAGACACATATTAAGATCCACATTGAAAGCATACCAAAGATAATGATGACTTCAATTTTTTGACAGCTGTTTTAGATTACTCTGTGGTTTGTATAAGAAAATTTTTACGTTATTTCTCACCATAAGAACCTTCCTTGCGCTTTAACGAAAATATAAATAAAAAATTAAGCTGAATCTATAGTTCAGATATATAGACAAAGTAACGTCCCATGTGGGGTTTGAAGCCACAACACTCGGCGGGGTAGGAAGCGGCGTGGCGACCGCTTAAACCCCTACGCCATCCGTATTGGTATTGGTTCAGCCGTTCTCGACTTTGCGCTTAGGAAAACATTTAGTGATTCATTTTTATTTATATATATGTAACCATTTCTATACCACAGGATCAATCTGATATCGAGATCATCTAGTTCTCGTTCGCGATGCTGCATTTTTATCAGTCAGTATTTGATTCTGTTGTTACCATCCGTCATTTATATCTCTGGCTTCCAGCTGATAACCCATATCAGCTGTGTACTTTATCTTATATTGTGTTTTCGTAACCTATATGATAAAATATCTTCATTTTAAATACGTCAAGAGAATTCGTTTATTTTTAACAAATTGAGGGTATGTCTTTTTGAAATATTTTTATCAAAGGTTACGACCGAGTCTGGCGCTAATGTATATGTAATAGGTTGTATTGATTTTGTAAAGCCGTGGGTGTCGTAAGAGCCGACTAAGAGAGCATACTACGCAGGACAGCAGCACTGCAAAGAGAAGGTAAACTTGAAACAAAGTCTGTACCAATCCGTCTGGCCAGAGTGGTCCAGTAGGCCAAAACCACCTTTCTAAGGAGAGGTTTATGTCTAGCAGTGGTCTAGTGAAGGGTGTTTGATGGATTTCGTAAATTAGTCACATGTGTGATTATATGATTTATAGTTGTGATTGTGATTTTATTTCATCCCTAGTGGTTAGTGACCCTGACTGCCAAGCTAAAGGCATAGATGTCTATGCTATTTTAGTCTGAAGATATAATAGATTAGATTGGCTAATTTTATCATACACCATGGAATTGTCCAAACAATTGAGATTAATATCACGCACATTTTTATGTGCTGTAAACTATAATTTAGGCGAAGAGCTAGCGGCATCTTTTAAATAGCTAGAATTTTCTTTAAGGTGATTTTTAGATATTAGATATAATCACTATCTAATCCCTAATCCTTATTTCGTGTGTCTAACTTCTAAAATGACGAACTTTCATACAACCGTTCATCCCTTACTTTACCCCTTAGGGGCGAAATATATAATAAAAACCCTTTCCTAGTGGGTGCTTACAATATGTGGTATGGGCTCTGCGTTTATGAATCACTCAGTATATATAAGAATACGTATACACACACACAATTATAACTTTTAGAGTTGTCTTCGTAAGTAGTGATTTGGTTCATAAGGTCACAAATAGTAGAGCAAATATACAGGGTTTTCCAACAAGAGGTGTTATTTTGGATCACCCGGTATTTCGGTAGCTGTCACTTTTGAAGCTTTTATTTTTTGACATTTGACAAGTAGAAACTACGCCATTACTAAAAATGGAACGATACACACTTCAACAACGCATTGAAATTATTAAAATTCACTACAAAAATGGTGAAAATCTTGCAGTTACAGTTCGCAAAACTAAAGCATTGTTTGGTCGTCGTGAAGCACTTTGTCGGACCGCAATACAGAAATTGGTGGAAAAATTCGAGCTGTTGGGACAAGTTAGTGATGTGAAGAATAAAACCCGTGCACGTCGTTCAAGAAGAACTGAGAATATTGCTGCTGTAGCCCAAAGTGTTGAAGAAAACGCAGGTTTGTCCATTCCTCGTCGTTCTTTGGAATTGGGCATTCCACAAACGTCATTACACCGTATTTTGCATAAAGACTTGGGTCTTAAGGCTTATAAAGGTCAGTTAACACAAGAACTCAAGCCGGGCGATCATCAAAAACGTCGTGTTTTTGCTGATTGGGTACTTGAAATGCATGAAAATGATCCGGAATTCCATCGAAAAATCATCTTGACTGATGAGGCCCATTTCCACCTAGGAGGCTACGTCAACAAGCAAAATTGTCGCATCTGGGGCTCGGAAAACCCAAGAGTTATTGTTGAGAAGCCTCTCCATCCTCAACGTGTGGCTGTTTGGTGCGGTTTATGGTCCGGCGGGGTCATTGGACTTTACTCTTTCGAAAATGAGGTTGGATCAACACTTACGGTGAATGGATTGCGCTATCGAGATATGATTAATGATTTTTTATGGCCGGAGTTGGATGGTATTGATCTGGACAACGTTTACTTTCAACAAGACGGCGCTCCGTGCCACACAAGCAACGAAACCATTGCTCTTTTACGGGAAAAGTTTCCTGACCGTGTTATCTCTCGAAGAGATGATCACGATTTGCCACCGAGATCTTGTGATTTAACACCTTGCGACTTCTTCCTTTGGGGCCACGTGAAAGATATGGTCTACGCCAACAGCCCAGTGTCGATTCAAGACCTCAAAGATGGAATTTGTGAGGCTATCGAGGACATAGGGCAGCCACTTTGCGATTTGGTTATGCAAAATTTCATTAAAAGGATATGGTCCTGTAAGCGTGGTCGTGGTAGCCATTTGGCTGATGTTATCTTCCATTATTAACGGCATACCTTCCTCTTTATTATGAAATAAACAGCCGATTATTTATCTTAAAAAATTGCATTTTTCTTTGAATACTAAAATAACACCTCTTATTGGAAAACCCTATACGTACATTTTTATAATGCTGGATTTTTCCAAGTTCTTTAACATTCGTCATTAGAATTGAAATATGGAGAAACTGCTGCCATGTCACTCTTGGTGGATAGCTGACTGACGGTTAATGTTAGCGAATTGTAAATGTAATCCACTAATAGGTGCCAGAACTTTTACGCGTGATGTAAGTTTAGTAATTACTCCTTAGGCCAGGTAGTGTCTTCGTTAGATGATATTAAAGTGTATTTTGTACCACAGGCATTATCTCCCAATCTACCTTTGGGTGGTGTGAAAATGTCTGACTAGGTGCACTGGATAGTTTTTTTAAAAGAGAATATTGATTGTGTTGGATATATAAATACATGATGATAAATTATAACACTTTAACTAACTTTAAGTTACATAAGAGTATTATTAAAGTGATAATGAAGCCCCCAACTCCTAAACTATACGTGTCCTTTGTTAAAATTACATAAGGTGGGTGATAAATGCCATGCACGATCAGCTGCTAATTATTAAACCTTGAAACACCGAGTGTTTGTCTTCATGACAGTTTGGTGGAAGATTTTCTATAGTGAACACGTATATGTGTGAATATAGTCAAGACTCTTCGCTGAAGTGAACTGACATGTGTTAGATAAGTGATTTTGAAGAGTTTTTGGGGATCAGTACTGTACAAGTATATTTTCCGATGTATGTGTCAATATAGCCCAGACTTTTCCCTGGAGTGAACGAATATGTTTAATCAGAAAGTGATGTTTCAATAAAGTAATTTTGAATACTCGTTGCAAATTATAACAATAGTGAAGTAGTCTTAATAAGTGTGGTGAAAACTGACACATAAATTAGGTATGTGTCTATAGAACAAGTCTCAAACAGAAAAAACCACCCCTGAATATCCTAAGGCAGAATAAAGTATTGACACATATCCAGGAAACAAGAACATAGTACGGAAACTACACGATACCCGAAAGTCAAAATTTCGGAAAGAAAAATATGCCCGTAAAAGTTTTCAGACGCTTATCCCAAGTGGGTATTGGTTTAGCCTTAGGTGGTGGGGTGGTAAACAATGCCCTTTATAACGTCGACGGAGGCCAAAGAGCAGTAATATTCGACAGATTCACAGGCATAAAAAAAGTTGTAGTTGGTGAAGGAACTCATTTCTTCATACCCTGGATCCAGAAACCGATCATTTTCGACGTAAAGTCAAATCCGAAAACAGTCTCCGCAAGAACTGGCAGCAAAGATCTCCAAACTGTTGAGATAAGCCTCAGGATTCTCTTCAGACCTGTTGCGGACGAATTGCCCAGGATCTATACCGTTTTGGGAGAAGATTACGACCAGAGAATTCTCCCATCGATCACATCTGAAGTTTTAAAAGCTGTAGTGGCTCAATTTAATGCCAGTGAACTTATCACTTCAAGAGAAATGGTATCTTTTAAAGTTAACGAGAGTTTAACTGAAAGAGCTAAGCAATTTGGACTAATTTTGGATGATATTGCCATAACGCACATAACTTTTGGCAGAGAGTTTCTCAAAGCCGTTGAGTTGAAGCAGATTGCTCAACTGGAAGCTGAAAAGGCTAGGTTTACGGTGGAGAAGGCTGAACAGAAGAAGAAAGCTGCTATTATTTCGGCTGAAGGAGACTCGCAACAGGCCGTCCTCTTGGCTAAAGCTTTCGGGAGTGCCGGTGAAGGATTAGTGGAGTTGCGAAGGATCGAAGCTTCTGAAGATATTGCTTACCAGCTTTCGAAGTCGCAGAATGTCACATATCTACCTGATGAGGGTCTTGTAAATATTAAGAATTAGGTGTTTTAGGAGGTAACTCATTTTGAAAATATTTAAAACATTTACGAAATTACTCTATTTGACTAGTCTGTTAGTCTGGTTAGTGAGCCTGACTGATTTTTTTAAATTTGTCATCATTTGTTTATAGCAGTCTGGTTATTATATCACAGGCTCTGACTATCTGGCGAATCTGTCATTACGTACTAAGGTCAAATTAAATCTTCAAAAATATCCTATCTCTTATAAGACTTGTACAGCACATGGTGCTGTAATGATAAATCATAAAAAAAATATTAAGTTTACTGTGAGACAATTTTTTAAACGCTTGAATTTTAGGTAAATATGTTTCTGCCATTGTTCTTTATCCGCCTCGAAAACCCAAGTGTCCTTAGATGGCTTTTTGAATGAAAAAAAACATAATGGCGGATTTTTGGCGCAAAATAATAATAGGTTATTAAAACATAAAACCCATCGAGTAGGGTATTAAATCGAGAAAATTTTAAGTGGATTACAAATATAAAAATATGTATAGACTTTTAAAACAATTTATTATTCCTTATTAAATTTAATTACATAATTAGTTTTAAAAAGATTAAAAATTAGATTAGATTTAAAAGTTTTTGCTAGCGTAAAAATGGGCCAAGTTTGTGTCGGACGTCGTGCTGTTTCGGTCTTTTTAGTGCTTTCTTTTTGAAATTACCTTTTTACAGGCGGGTTTTTATATTTTTTTAAATTATTACTTGTTACGATATCGATTTGACAGATTGCAGGAATGCGAGATGAGTGTTTTGTTAAATTGTATTTCTTAAAAAAATATTTTTATATGAAATACAATTTAACAAACCACAAACCATTAAAGAGGAAAAAATTACAAATACACGAACGCTAGTGTTACTGTATTCGTGTTTTTTTTACATTTTTACATTAAATAAACATATTGAACTTATTTATATTTGTTTCAGGAAACAATCGCGTAGTTTATCATTTTCCTTCTCCGTACTTCCTATATCATTCCAAATATTAATATTTTTGTAGAAAACACTTCCAAATATTTAGTAAAATTTTGACTCTATTCCTTTACTCATTCCAAATTCTATTTTTTTGTGAAAAACTAGAAAAAAACAATAATTTTTAATAAAATAGTGAGAGTAATATTAAATATAAGTATATTGAATAAAATTCGATCAATAGTGAAACACAGCCTTATATTTTATACGACATCGATGATTTGAAAATCGAACCTTCGAAATTGAAAAATAATTGCAACGATTTTCTAGTAATAACTGATAATAAGGATTTGCGTCTGCGCATAAATATAGCTTCCAAATTAAAAAACCGCAAATAAAAGCGGTTAATGTTTTATTATTAAAAAATCAGAATAATTATTAATTATTGCAATGTGCGCGGTGTAACTTAGGTCTTCCATTCCCTTCCACAATGTTCTGACCTATCCTCACGATGTCTTCATCACCAGCTGTGGAGCCCTCTTCTCCATCCACTACTCCTTCTTCACCGGCTTTGAAAGCTGACAGCGGCCAGTTCCAGACTTCCACACCATATTTCACTGGAAGAGTAAGTACGCATATTACTTACATACATATACTCACTTCCCCCCGGAGGGGAAGAAAGAGCCGTATTAAACATGCACATTTTGCGTCCGTGTGGTGACGGATTAAAAAAACGGAGTGTCACCACCCCTATTCATCCTCGTTCATCGGTTTTTATCCTTTCGCTGTTGTCCTGCGTAGTTTCCTCTCTTAGTCGGCTCTTACGACACCCACGGGGTGAATAGGGTGGACACTCCGTATTCTTAATTCGTCACCACACTGAAGACTCAAAACCGCCGCTCAAAGGGTGCGTCTGCATTTGTGACTCCTGAGTTGCAGGTCCATGAATTGACCCGTCTGCTACATCGGTTTTTTGTGAGTCCGTGGTGTAACTCCGAAGCACGGTTCCCCACTGGTATCCACCTTTGTTTAACCATAATTGTAATAATTACTTTTTTTACAGAAGCAACCCCAGCCTCCCCTGAACGTTATACTTCCAGCCCCAACACCATCAACACCCCCTACATATAGTAAGTGTACCATGGATTATGATGTACTAGCAATCCGCCCCGGCTTCGCACGGGTGCAATGTAAACACCACTAATGTGTCAGTGTAGAATAATGAATTACGCTATTATTATGATAAGACAGGACGTAAGAACATAACGTATATCTTTATATGCGATATTTATAGGCCCGCTCCGCTACTGCCCGCCGCTATCTCCTAAGATATACATTTTAATGATATGCTGTAAAAGGCAATTTTAGGAGATAGACATATACCATTATGGACTTTTTTGTAGATATTTTTAAGGTATACAATTCCGTAGTACATTATTTTGATCTATCTCGTAAGGTTTAGCCAGCGTTTGCAATGTAAGCGTACAAAAACATGTTTTTTACGACTTCACATTACAAGTCTATGAAATTCTCGGATTTTTTCAACTATAATACTCGTATGCATTTATTATACAATGGCTTCCGCCCGCAGTTTCGCCCGCGTTGATATTGGTAACCGTGATCCTTTTTCGCCAGATTTATATATCAAGATTTTGTTTGACCCCTTCAACAATGATCGTTATATTTTAGTCAATTTGCATAAAATCATCATGAATGTCAAGACCACCTAAGAACAAAAAGCGACTTTATATTATACTATGTAAAGAAGATGGGAACTAGGGAGCTTAATAATTTCTCTTTTTCGCCGACTCCAAAGGGAAGGTGAAAGTTCTCCATTCATTTGTATTTTGATGTGAAACATCTAATGCGGCAATGAGGGTCAGGCTAGCTGTTGCCACGGCATGTGTTGCCACGCCATGTTATAGTAAATGGTCGTGGTATCACTCCGGTCTAGCTGACCAATTTTGCCGAAGCATAGTTCTCCCACAGATTTTAACTGATGTTTTTTTTCTAGGCGAAGCCACCTTGACCCCACCGCCTCGTTCGCCAGGTGCACCTCTAGTGAGTCCTGCCTCAGGAGATCGTGCTCATCCACCAGACGGTACATCATCAGATAAGGTAAGCTTCTTCTTTTCTGTTTAGGTATCGCCTTTTACAAGTAAGATGGCCTCACCTGTCAAAAGTACAAACTTTTCACAGGTGAGACCATCTGTCACCTCAGCAAAAGCAGGCCGGGGTGGTGGCAAGACGCGCTGCGGAGCGCGCGTGCCCTTTCGGGAGCACCAGGGGAACATGGGGGTTCCCACACAGGAGGGGGTCATCTACCCACCGTAGACGGCCCGAGGTACATCGGTGTACTAGGGATTTCCTTTCTAGGGTACACCTAGTTCCCCGGCTACTTGTACACGAGATGGCGTGCGGTTTTAGTTGGTTCGAGTCCGACATGCCACCGATAGGTGGTATCCGAGGGGATTTCCCCACGGAAAAAAAAGGGGATATCCGCACAGAAAAAAACTGCCTACAGAATAAAGCTGGTTATTTTTAAAACGGAATAAGTTGATATCAGAGGCACATAGCATCATAAAATGTCAGTGAGTACATTTCTCCGTAACTTGCCCTTTCAGACGGAAGGGACGTATCCGCTCGTGGCGATAAGAAACTTCTATAAAGAAAGGATTGATAGAACATTGTATTAAGGAAACAATTGTTAGTTTAAGAGTTTTTAAAACAATATTCGTGTATTTTTACCCGACTGCAATGAGGATGGTTAAGTTTTTCGAGTATGTATGTATGCTTGCTTTGTAGCCCAAACGGCTTGATGGATTTTGGCGTTTGATGTGTCCTTAGATTGGTACCGTTATGTAGCATTTTTTTAAATTAAAAACCATTTTTTTTGTAGAAAACTACTTACTTAAATACTTTCTTGAATAGAATAAATTATAAAGTTGATACTCTTATGAGTTCGATTTGGTACTCAAACTGCTGATAAACATACTTAAATCTAAACAGATAAATATTATTATAAATAAAAACTATTATTACTATCTACTATTTTTAATATACTATATATTTTGATATTTATTATGATATATATATATATACCTAGTAGGTACTATATTTATATACATAGCTGTATGTGGCAGATGTATATTTGGAACAGGGAAGGATGAGATATATACCTATGTATCTGTAGTTTTTATCTCCTTTTGTAATATTCTTTAACTCATTCCTCATCCTTCCTGTTCCAACACCAAAAAGGTTTGACTGGAAGAAAATGCCTCTGGCATTAAGTCCGCCTCATGCAATATGTTTGCAGGAAGTCTTAATAAATAAATAAATCAAGTAGCTGTACCCTGCCGTGTGGCACATTGTGGTTGCATTTATTAGAAATGAGAAACAAAAAGCCGTGTGGTGTCGTGGGACACCCGATAGGAACGAAGTTGTGACGATCGAGTAAAACTGATTCGACACGATTTTAATTACAACGCCATCTATGAAAGCGGCTATTACCTACATATTTTTCAGTTGGTTTCTAATTAAAACAATTTATACATTTATAGTTGGCGCTGAATGACTGACAAGTGACAATTCAAAATAAAAAGTGTCGTTACAACTTTTCGTGAGATTTTTTTCCGTCCAGCCCAACGCGCGATAATTATCTTCGTTCCAAAATTGACGTGATAAATAGATAAAAACCATGTTTGAAGCCGATTGTACATCTGGTTGAGTTTTTGAAGCGTACACAAACCAACTTAACATTTATACGTATACATATATCGATTACAACCAGATATAGAACAAATGATCGTGCTCATCACACATTGTTTGTCCTGGGTGGAATTGAACCCCCAACCCCTGACTTAGCAGACAGAATCACCAGCTACCAAATCAACAGGTCAATTATTTAATCAAGTTTATTTTTTTAATTACTTTCTCTCTTTCTACAGTCTTCAGAAACAGCGGTCGGTGGTCTCTCGCGCACGACGAGCACGGCTCTGTCTAGAAAAGAGAGTTACAAAGCGCAGAGACAGCATTACAGAAGAGAAAGAAAAGAGCAGCGTCAGCGTTATTGCATTCTATTGAAGATCCGTCTGTTGTGGTGTTAGCCGACTGGCTTAAGGTACGAATAAATTTGTACTATTAAGTTAACCTCGGCACAAATGGCGTCACAGAAAACCGAGTTCAGCAATTCTATCGATTAATATTAGTGCTCCGGCCCACTCCCCCTTAAGCCTGGTGGGGAAATACAAAGGCCCGACAATGCATTTTTTCTGACTCTTGAACTGCAACTGGCCATGGGCGGCTCGGGGTACCAAGGATCTTCGGGGTATCAGATATTCTCGGGGTACCAGGGATTTCCTTTACCAGGGTTCCCCGGTTACTGGTACCCGAGACGGCGTGTGGTTTTTGGTCGTTTCAAGTCCGAAATAACCAGCGGTGGGTGGTATTCGAGGGGATTTCCGCACAGGAAAAAAAAAGGTAGCCATGGGCGACTGTAGTCACTTACTATCATGTAACCCTTCTGCTTTGCTCCCTATGCCATAAAAAGAGTAATATTCCTGCAACTTTAACTCGTGAGTACCGGTTGCTGGACAAGGTAAAAAAGATTTTGACACATTGTTATAAGACATAAAGTTAACTGCGCGTGTCAACTGTAGCCGAATATGTATTGAGACGCCAAGCTATGCGAGGAAATTAGCACTTTGTTGCATAATAACTAGGTTCGGTATTTCTTTGTTTTGGAATTTGGTTGTTTATTATTTTTGTGTGTTACAGGTCCGTGGCTCTCTCAAGTCTTGGACCAAGCTATGGTGCGTCCTGAAGCCTGGTCTATTACTGCTTTACAAGAGTTCTAAGGCGAAGGTAATTAAATATATACTCTTACTAGCTTTTGCCCGCGGTTCCACCCGCGTGTATTTCGGTTATCGCGGTAAAAAATAGTAGCCTATATATCCTTCCACAATAATCAAACTATCTTCATGCCAAATTTCATTTAACTCGGTTCTGTGATTGTTGATTCCCCATACAAACTACCACCCTCCTCCCTCCCTCCAATCCCTTAAAGGATGATTTCTGGGATAAAAACTATCCGATTATCCTTTCCCGGGACTATCTCTATATCAAATTTCATCTAAGTCGGTTCAGCGGTTAAAGCGTTAAGCGAAACAAACAGACTGACAGACAAACCGACAGACGGACAGACACACTTTCGCATGTATAATATTATTATGTTTTTTTTTAAATTTCTTAACGATTTACGTCTTACGGTCTGACGCCATGCGCCGGCGCAAATGGGCCGGCTCGACCGAAGTGATACGCCCTCACAGAAAACCACTGTTAGAAATTCTGTCATTGCTTTTTACTGAAAAATCAAACTCCAACATATAAATACTCTTAAAGATAGATTAAGCAGATCTTCTTATGCTCTGTATAAACTTGCGCCCACGGTAAATGTTGATACCTTACTGCATATCACAGGTTAGTGGCCTCGATATTAAGATATGGAATAATATTTTGGGGCGATATATCCGCTCTATGTTTGGACTGAAAATTACAGATAGTTGTCAACCATACTTCCGTAATTATGGCATTTTAACCCTTCCATCATTATATATTTTAGAAATATGTCTCTTTGTGAAAAATAATCCAACCTCTTTCCCAAGATTGTCTGATACAGTTCAGCGTAACAGACGAGACAATCAACGACTGCGTATGCACAGCGCCAAAACTGCTCATTTGGCTAGTAGTGTAAACTGTATGGCACCCAAAATATTTAATAAATTACCAAAAGAGTTTAAGTCATTGAATTATAATTTGTTTAGAAGCAGAGTTAAGGAAATGTAGGTTAGGAAATGCTATTATAATATTCACGACTATTTAAACGATAACTCTTAATTAATTATATTTATTTTTTTACACAAGACAAGGTTTTGTCTTTAGCTGTAACCATTTATCTTGACATACATTTTATAGTTTTTCAATCAATGTATATTTTTACGCCGTCCATGGCAAAACATGTTGATACACAAAACTAACCAATTGAACTGTTTAGGATTCATTTCCTGTAAACTACACATGTTTGAAGCAAATAAATATTTATTATTATTACTGAGTGAGTGACGTTACTGGAGCCCAAATTCCTTCTTACTTGATTCTAGAGGCAGACTTAAAGGGGGGCAACACTCTCGTGACCCTAGAGTTGCAGATGTCATTTACCATCAGATGCTCCGTATGATCGTTTGCCTCCCCCTATGTAAAATAAAGATCCCCCCCTTATTATAAAAAAGTGGAAAGTTCTTTTTTATTTGAAAGGGTATAATAATAATTAGAGCGCCGAGCAATAATTGTTGACATTACCATTCGCCATGACGACAATCTCTTGAAAGCTGAAAAAACAAAACAAGTAAAGTATTTGGCCTACGAGATTGTCGACATGTAGGATGTGGATTCGGCAATCATTGTTCCTACCGATCGTCATATCAGCCCATTGATTAACTGCTAAGAGCCTCGATCAACATAGTCAGAGGCTCGCGTTAGGCAGCTGGATTAAGGGCCTGATTCAGAAAGCAGTTCTTCTCCATGCGACATGTATTGTGAGGAGGTTTCTGTCTCTGGAGTCCTAACCACCGGTATCTTGGTCCCTGTAGGTGATACCGATTGGACACAATTTTTTATATTTTTAAATGTATTTTGTTTTTTTGTACATATATAAAAATGTTTTTTTTTTTATGTTAATTATTTTTAATCTACAGAGCAGTCACTGGGTTGGCACAGTCCTGCTAACATCCTGCCAAGTGATAGAACGCCCGAGCAAGAAGGACGGCTTCTGCTTCAAGCTCTACCATCCCCTGGAACAGAGTATTTGGGCTCCCCGGGGACCTCATAACGAGACTATAGGTAAGGGACACCGTTATCATCAGCCTATCGCCATCCACTGCTGAACGAAGGCTTCCCCAAAGGAATGCCAACCATCCCTGTCTTGGGCAGTTCGCATCCATCTTGTGCCAGTTTACTACGTTTGCCTAATCGCTGTGGACTCTAACACATGTCGGCTTCAGCTTCCATTTCAGCGTAGGAATAGGAAAAGGGATGTTTTTGATAGTTGAAGATGTTTAGTACCCCAAGGGATGTGACGTGGTCTGTTAGATAACCAGGTACTAGAATAGGTAAGACGCAGTACACTTGTGAGGGGCTTCTGAAAAGTGAAAGACGTCACTGCTTTTGTGCGTAAGAGATTCAATAAGAGATTGCCAAAAAGGTACCAGGTGCAAAGATGGTGCTTGCTTTATGTTTGTGTGGTGACGAATTAAGAATACGTAGTGTCACCACCCCTATTCATTACGTGGGTGTCATAAGAGCCGACTAAGGCAGCAAACTACGCTGGACAACAGCACTGAAAAGAGAAGGAAAACTTGAAACAAACCCTATACCAACCCGTCTGGCCAGCGTGGTATAGTAGGCCAAAACCTCGTTTTCAACGTTGATGATGTTGACAGACAAGTTGACATAAGATGGCTAAATGCTTATCATGATCTTTGTTCCCTAGGAGCAGTAGTCCAGCCGCTGCCGACGGCGCACCTGATCTTCCGCGCGTCCTCGCAGGCCGCCGGCCACTGTTGGTTAGACGGACTCGAATTAGCTCTAAGATGCAGCAATGCTATGTTAAGGTATTTTGAATTTTTAACTTGCTTTTGCATGTGACTTCGCTCGCGTGGATTTTAATTTCGCTAGCCATGATTCAGCTCGAACGGAGTGATGGTAAAACCGTAGTTTAGCATTTCTATCGTCGCTTTTCACCGAGTCAGTGAGAGTACCAGTGCCCAAAAGTCCTCCTATTCCTATTTCTGAAGTGGCGGGGGTGAGAAGGTCCCTCAAAGGGCGAGAACACTGTTGAGTTTCATAAGTCACTTATGATTATGATAAGGTCATTTATCATCAGGTGCCTTTAACTATAATAAAATTAATTATGACGGAGTAATAAGTAGACCATGTGCTGTTCCAGAGTATAATCTATCTCTCTGCCAAATTTTGTCCAGATCCGTCCAGCCGTTCTGACGTGATCTGGTTACAAACATATATATATATATATATACATATAACCTTACTTTTTGTATGTTAGTTACGCCAATACAAACTTGTTTCGTCTTGGAAAGTATGAAACGTCACACGGTACCTCTTAGATGAGATGGACTACTTTATAAAGTGTTCAACTGTTTTTTGAAGGTTTTTTTCGAGTTTTTTAAATATATTTTTCATATTTATCTTGATAAAGATGTTCCCGGTCACGGCCTGAGCAGACGGTAGCTCCCGACGCGCCCCAGACACAGACAAATTTGTCGCATGAGGACCTTGAGAAGCACTTTAATGAACACGGTGAGTCTTTGTACTGTTATACTGTATTACGTCATCAATGTGATATACAGGGTGGTACAGAAAAGTGTCCTCATATAATTTAAGTTCGTTGATCCCGCGAGGGACGTAAAATTATCGCATACGGTATTTTTTGGCCGAAGACTATCTTTAAACCATTAAGGAAAAGCGTACTCCCACATCGAAGGTTATTTTTCGTCGGTTATTTTGTAAATCACAAAAAAAATACCTAGAAAAGGTTGTGATTTTTAATGTTTTATTTGGTATAAATAGCAAATTGTCATTGAAAATTATTTTTTATAAATGGGAGTTGTCATGAATGAAATTTCAATTATCAGGTGACCCTTCCTATGGTTTTAGTATACTCTCTACTATAAAATAAATAATTTGTTCGGAAAGTTCCATTCTTAATATATGTTCTCACTTTTCTGTAACACAAAATGTTTTTTTTTTATGATATCTTTACAATCTTGTTATTAGAATTTAGTTAGTCTGCATTTTTATAACAGAAATAATGAAAATAATTAAGCTTCGCCCTCTAACCAATGAGGTTCCAAGCTTTCGTACGAAACGAAAATTTCTTGGAACTTCATTGGTCATGGGGCGTGGCTTGATCGATGCGTCACTATTTTCTTAAAATGCGAATGGACTGTAGCGAGATATTGACCCTAAAATAATTTTTTATTTTATTTCAACGTCATCAAAATTATATGGGATCTCTGTCGTACTATAGATAACAGTTAGTTATTAATATGAATTATTTTTTAATTGATAATATTCCTTCTTTTTAGGTGTATACGGTTTTAATTGGTTTAAACTAAATAACGCCTATGTTGTTTATAATTATTTTTGAAGACGAATAGTAATAAGCGTGGTATTAGGGGCCGTGTATGAATTACGTCACACGAAGTTCATGGTTTTTTGACCTTGACTTGTCAGCTGGTTTCATTTGAGTCTTGCAAATGTGAGTTGAGTCTTGCGTGACATCATAGATTGTGCAACTTTGCATATATATTTTGTATAACATAGATCAGTGTCAAAATGCGTTTTGACACATATATATGTTATTATAGGTTTTGAAACCCCTCGCAATGTGACATCCTTCAACTCCCCCCCCCCTTAACGTGTGACGTAATTGATGCATGGCCCCTTATTTGTGTTAATGATATATTTTTATTTATACTTTTGTGGCCTGTTTCTTTCTCAAAACATTTTTATCCAATCTACATACTAATGGATTTTTTTTCTACCTACCCTCACTTACGCTAACTTTAAAATGTAGTGCTTAAAGTATCTGAGCTATCGTCCTGTAGTTCTCCTTTAATGTCCGTATCTGACTATTCGCCCAAAAGACCATCGTCAGTAGACTATCAAATGCCAAAGAAATCAAAAACTCACAAGACAAAATTCACAAACTTCATGGAATCCATAGAAATCATGTCAAAAGATCACGACTCCAGTGAACCACACACACCAGACGGAGATAGCAAGTTCTTAGACTTCTTGAAAAGAAAAGAGACGAATGCAATCCGGAATACACCATCTACATCTTCTGTTCGAGTATTGAAAGTACCAAAAGAGAATAAAATTACCAGCAAAAGTTTGGCTTCAAGCCCGTACAGAGCTGAACTGAAGAAGTCTCCTATACTGAGATGCTTGGAATTTCCAAAAATATCTCTACTAGAAAAGGCTAGAGAGAAATCCTCTCCAACGAATATTCTAGAAGAAAATTTCCTCAAATTTATGTCGACATTTCCCAAAAGACGTAGTTCCACCCCATCCACTTTTAAACAGAAACGGATTAGCGACTTGAGAGAATCGGGGGTCAAGACCGATTCGGAAAACGATGACGTATTCATAAAGAGTCAGAGGAAAAACATATATAAGGGGTCTGAAGTAATTTGTGACACGCCTATAAATTTAATAATTAAAACAGCGCCATCTGTGGAAAGAGTAAGGGGAATTAGTAGTACTTCGAGTGATGATGACACATATAGGTTAGTTTTTAAAATATATTTTTAAAGGAGTTTTATTACAAAAGATGATTAAAAAAGAGTTAAATTAAATCGGACGATATTTATTAAGAAACAAATAGTCACGTTACACGTACGTGTCGTACAGAAAACTCACTTTTCAAAGTTCTTAAAGAAATTTCTACTCTTGCTGTAACACAATAAAGTTGTATTTCGGTGGCGCCTATGCCTAAAATGCTACATAAATTATTTGCTCATTAATTAGTAAACGGTTATTTCTACCGCTGTTACACATAGTTTTACCTATTAAGCTTTTGCTTAAGTATCACTCATTTAAAGAAAACATCTATACGTATATAGGTAATAACCTGAGCGACGTTTAATTAATTACATGCGTTTAACTAAAAATTTCATTTCATGAAAATACTATTTCTTAAATGAAAATCTTAAAGAAGCTAATTATGTCAGTAATAAAAAATGTAAAAATGTGTGTTTTTGGTAAATATATTTTTAAAGTTAGTTCAGCTCGAAGCTTTCCTATAAACCACGACTTTTATTGAACGTAGGTATGTAATATTAATCGAAATTTTGTTTATTAATAAAACTTTTATGAATTTAGCTCAAATGTTATGTTCATATATCTAAGTAAATAAAAATAATAAAAATAAATCATTTGCAAAATTTTAGGAAATCGCCCGCATGCTCGCATTTAAGCCATGTACACGAGAAATTTTCGCTCATAGACTACAGCAAGCTGCCGTCGGCTAGCTTTGAAGCGAACCGCACGGCGAGAAAGGATGATATTATGACGTCACACAATGTTTACATAGCTGGGAATATCGTATCGAGCGGTCATTTAAGCGGTATATATGTGCCTCCGTCTACCGACTGAAAACATTTGAAATGTCTTGGAAATAAACTCTGGGGATTTATATTCTGTATCAAGAACAGTGTTGCCAATCCTGTAGGACAGAAAAGCTACTAAAATAAATTAAGAATGTACTTATTCATTGAAACATATATTAAGATTGAAAATATTGCTTACATATATAACTGACTCAGAATCATAATCATCAATCATCAACAGCCTTTCAGAGTACACTGCTGGACATAGGCCTCTCCTTAGAAAGGAGGTTTTGGCCTACTATACCACTATATATAGACGGGTAGATATTGTTTCAAGTTTTCCTTTTTTTCTGACATTAAAATTATAGTAAAAAAGATACAATAAAATAAAACCCATACAAAGCACATTAATTGTCTATCTGATTTGATAAAGAGTTTATTAATGTAATTCATGTTAATCTATTCCAGTAAATATATGTATATATGCCTATAAAGTTATAGGGTAGATTCCTATGTTTGAAATTAATTAATAACTTCAATCAGTAAATGTAACATCTTAAAGTATAACCTGAATCCTCTATTATCACTTAGATGTTTGAATTTTTTGAAATCTTTAAATCGACACTAAATATATACATTTGAGAATACGCCATAATTCTTTTTTCAATAATGTACCTCGTATGTTTTGACGTTTAACAAAAAGACACATGCGATTGGACAGTTAGCTACCCCATTATTGAGAAGCTTAATTTTGTAGAATATTACAATTTACCTCTTTCAAAGGTTAGGTATATTTAAGTTAAAAAAAACGACCATTGTTGGTTGAAGGTTGGTCACACTGTAGTCAGGATTTCCAAGACATTTTAGATATCCATACGTTTTCTGACATTTGGCTAGATTTTATATAAATTAAATAGGCTTGTTGTGGTGTGCTATTTTTTTTTGTAGAATAACAAGTTTCTATGTAAATCTTTCTACAGTAGATATTTTGTAGCTAATAATTATTAGAGGTCGTATAACTACCATGGACTGGTGGTAAAAAATCAAAGGTTAACAATAGTAAAAAAAAGTGGTGGCACCGGTTAGGGACAGTAGGAAAATGTGTATATGTATTAGTGATGTAGAATGTCGGGTGCCTTCGTATTTTTGCATGCTTTGTTCGATTGTTATACTGTACTATTGAGTCACTTAATTTGTATTGTTCAAAAAATGCTTGTACTTGTGTAACAATTTATTCTTCTGCGTTCTCTCTCAAATTTTTGCAATGCCTGGAAAAGGCTTCTAAGTTGGGACTACTACATATAATATTATAAGATCATTGATGTACACTTGGTTGGCAAATAAAGATTTGATTTGATTTGATTTGAATAAAAAAAAACACAATGGCGGATTTGTTAGCGCAAAATAATAATAGGTTATTCAAAAAATAAACTAACCAAACCTATCGAGTAGGATATCAAAATCAAGAAAATGAAAAGGGGATTACAAAAATATATATATTGTTATATGTTTAAATTTAATAAGGAATAATAAATTGGTTTAAAAAGTTTTTGATAGCGTTAAAATGGGCCATGTTTGTGTCGGATCTCGTGCTATTTCGGTCTTTTTTATGCATCACTTTTAAATGGTCTTTTTGCAGTCGGGATTTTGTTTTTTTTATTATTGATCTTGTGATCTTGTTGATATTATTTATTTACACTGCTATAGAATATTTCTACAGGCGCTTATCGCTTACGGCGATCTCTTACAGACATAGAGCAACACGGTCCGCTGGTGGCCTGTGTTGCTTTATGCTTACAGATAACCTTTACACTTGTCAAATCCGATCTCTTTCATTTTCCTGCCATTGTATGTTGATGTACAGAACTCGGAGCGGTATTATTCGCAATTGTCTTCTTTTTGCCCGATTTGCATTAGAAAGAGAGTTATTTTTTCCTTTCTAGTGTATGTATGTATATTTTTTTGACACGCCCCGTAGCACATGCCGAAACGGCTCGATGAGTTGTGGCGTTTGATGTGTCTTTAGTTTCGTTTAAATTGGTAGACAGAGTGGTACATGAAAATTATAAAAATTAAAATTGCCGGGTTGTAGGTTCTAAGTACGTAGGTTTTTTTGTTCAATAATTAGCTAAAAGTTCGTTTTTAAAGGACTTAACAGAAATCATTTAACGGGCTATAACGAGTCCATGACAACAGTACCCAAACTAAAGAACTAAAGGAAGTCAGGTTAGTATATTTTATTTACTATCTTATCTTTATTTGACCAAGTTTAGACGGTATAACAAAACTAATACTTATCAGTACAACAAAGATAAACCTTGAATGCTTTCTAGAAATCTTTTTACAATCATCTTGTATGATTTCATGATAAAAGATGTGTGGGTACAGCCTGGCCTGGTCTGTTTGTCTTGTGGTTAGCGATCCTGACTGCTGAGCCATAGGTCGTGGGTTGGATTCCCACCCAGGAATAATAATTGTGTGATGAACACGATCATTTGTTCTTTGTCTGGGACAGTCTGGGTTTTATGCACACCAATATGCGAAAGTGTGTCTGTTTGTTACCTCTTCACGCTTAAACAGTTGGACCGATTTAGATGAAATTTGATATAGAGAAAGTTTGAGTCCCGGGAAAGAACATAGTTTTTATCCCAGACATCTTCCTTTTAGGGGGTGGACTTTTGTACTGGGAATCAACCGCTGGACCGATAGATATGAAATTTTGTATGAAGTTTGTTTGTTTTGTGGGGAAGGACATCGGTTTTTTTTTTTTACAGCGATAACCGCCATACACGCGTACGGAGCCGCGGGCAAAAGCCAGACAAATTTATATTAATAATTATATATTAATAACAATGAGGAGATGTAGGTACGACACGTCTAGCAGAAGAAGTATTACGACATGCTTAAAGGAAAAAGAACAGTCCCAGTAGACCCATAGTTTAATAGTAATGGAACTTCTGAGACTAAAATCTTGGTGTCACTGATCCCAAGGGTCTACTGGGATGAAACGGTGTCAGTTGTCTAGTGGGGACTAGTGGGATAGACAGCAAACAATTAGTCTGTGACATAACTCTGTACGACACCCTATGACCTTCGAAACAAGCTATGCCTGTATTAATTTTCTATAAAAGCAAAGACCAACTAAGGTAGGTATGTATTGAAAAATAAAAATTTCATGCAAATTTTTTATCAGAATAATATTAGGTGAATGGCAGTGACGTACTCGTAAAAAGGATGGTAAAACTACGTAGTCGAGTTAAAAAATTAGGAGGTCACTTTATAAATACCTGTACTATAATAGAATGACCTCTAGATAAAAATAACATGTTATATTTAGTCAAAATTAATTTCAGCCAACCTATTACATAACGTATAATACATGTATACTTTTTAAATCGAATATTTTAAAATACACGTTCTGTTTGCTATTATCCCTTTAAAAAAGATATAAAAAGAATAAATCAAATAGGACCAATACATACAGACCTACGAACATATATTTTTTTTACCACATTCACACAACGCCATCTAGTCCCAAACTAAGCAGAGCTTGTATTATGGCTACTAGACAACTGATATAAATACATAATATATACTTTTTTTTTGTAAATACATACATATTATACATAGAAACACCCAGACCAAATCAAACATTAAATGTTCATGCACACAAATGTTTGACTTGAGCGGGAATCGAACCCGCGACCTTTGGAATAGCAGTCCGTTACACAAACCACTACGCCATCCGGTCGTCAAGTTCTATAATGCGCGCATACAGTTTGTGTGTGTATGTGTGTGTTTGTGTGTGTGTGTGTGTGTGTGTGTGTGTGTGTGTGTGTGTGTTTGTGTGTGTATGTGTCTGGGGGTGCGTATGGATAGAAAACATACAATGCAATATAAACATAAAATTAAAAAATAAAACAGTGTTACAATGGGCAGCCTTATCGCAGTCTGCAATACATCACAATCTATCTACAGAACTTCGATATCGCCTAGTACTTGGTCGTACAGGACGAGAGAGTTCAGCAGTATAGCCGGATAGCCGACCCCCAACATAGTTTGAGAAAAAGTTCGGAGGGTGATGACTAATGGTTCTAGAGATATGTGATTGATGATAAAAAACATTTCTTGTGTGTTATTTATTACATTATTATAGTATATTAGCTGTCCCTCGCAATTTAGTTTGCATCTCTCTAAAGGAATGAATTTTGCTCAGTTTTTGCAAAAAAACCATTGATACTCGACGCCTATTGGTCGTAGCGTGATGTTATATAGCTCTCTCGATAAATAGGCTATCCAACACTACATCAATTTTCAATTTTCAAATCGGACCAGTAGTTCCTGAGATTAGCGCGTTCAACCAAACAAACAAACAAATTCTTCAGCTTTATAATAGGTATTCATAATCATCATCATTATCAACAGCCTTTACTAGTCCACTGTTGGATATATGCCTCTCCTTAGGAAGGAGGTATTAGAATAGATATATTCATGAAAATGATTTTAAAACAGTAAAATTAGGTTCGTCTTTGGGCAAAACTCAGGTTTTCGGTATGGAAATATCTACATACAAGGCCGACAACACGCCAGCGAGGCGGCTGTAGTGACTTTTCATTAGGTGACCCATCTCCTCCTTTGTCCTCTCGAACCTGGAACCCTCGTTTCTCGAATCAGACTCGTCTGTTTTTTAAGGTAACACTAATAGAAGTAAATTAACAACTCAATAGGTAGCACATACAAGGTCAAAATGAACTAACAAGCAATAACACGTCCACTCTTGTTTAAACATGTTAAGGCAGTATTTAAAACAAGAGACCTGGCCAGCTTCGGCAAGTACGGGCGACCTCGAAGGGAATGAAATCAATCGCAACCATTTATTGCCCAAACATGTTAAAGAAAGCTATATATTCATACGAGAAAATTAAGAAGAGAAGAGAAGGAGTGGAATTGTGCTTTTCTAGTATAAACAGTCTCTAAACTATTTGGTTGGTTTTGTTATTAGGAATACGGCAATTTTAAAAACACCGATATCGCGTCTAACTATAA